TTTTTGTTAATGGCACACACATACATATTGAAAGCTACGCACACATATAAAAACAGAGAGTCAATTCCGGTTAGTAAGCTTGCCTCGACCTATAGACCTTAAGCTTACTATTGCCAAAGCACAAGGCCAAATCGTTGAGAAATACGATTAGGAAGATTGTCTTAAGGCAAAGTGGGGAGAGCCTCTTTCTCATCATTCGAAGTCCTGATTTTTTTGTTTTTTTGTTTTTAACGAGGCTAGAACACCGACTTCTGACATCGGTAACAAATAAATAATGAAGCCTCGATTTGTTAGGGGCGCCCAAAACTTGTAGCCTTGTGTCAAACGAGGTTAAGCTTAGCAAACAGAGCAGAAATAGAGAACCTTAATGACACGTACATTCATTTAAACAGAGGGCGTCATGCCATAGAGTAATTATAGTAATGGCTAACGAGCTAAAACTCGTCCGACACACAGTTCGCTTGTGATGTAAATAAATTTTCATTCTCATGAGGTGATCTAATATGTCCGTCTAAGATAAGTTTAATAAATACTCCATTCATTTTTTTGCAGGGTACTGAACAGAAATTATTATTATTATTATTATTATTATTATTAATAATAACAATATTAATAGTTATAATAATAATAATAATACGTCTCGCCGCTTATAAATTAATTTTAATAAAACATTTTATTTTAATAAAAAATATACTGTTTTATTTACGCACGCATGCGCACCGACTCCCACAAGAAGTGAAAGAAAGAGTAGACATATTTGTAACTTCTCTTTCTTATCAGATGTGTGTACATAGCCAATAACCAGTTTTAAAGCCAGAATCTCACATATGCGTTCAATGACGATTCACATACATTTATATTATTTAATGAAATTAATTTAGTTTCGGCTTAAGGACATCAATTATAGGGCCCCCGGTAAAGATAGAATCCAAGTCACTAACTAATGAATGTTCAGCGAGTCCAACTTGCTAACCATGGTGCCATGTCTATGCATATTACGAATGCGCAGTTCTATTTACGCACACGTACACATTGACCATTAATAGCTCTGTACACAAAAGGTTCACATATTAGAAAGGTGACATTCTCAGATACACATGACTGAAACACGAATACAGATATTCATTCCCGCCCTAGAAAGAGATAGGTACACCTATACAGAACCATAATTTTCGTTAGTTTGCCAACTCTTGTATGTTACGCATATAGAGCTCTTTATATACACACGCATATGTTTTAAAGAAATGGTAACCCATACAAGGAGGAGGGGGTGTTGAAAGAGATTGATGAAGATACAAAAACAAAATAAACGGAGATTGTTAATAGAAGAAGTAAAGAAGAAAAAAAGAAATTGAGAAAAGCAGACGTTAACAGTAAAAAAAAAAAGGAAAAAGAAAGGAAAAGACTGAAAACAAAGGCAGTGAAAGAAAGAGAGAAAGAGACTGAAACATTCATAATGGCGAAGTTGCGGGGTGGAGGCGCGATAAAGTATAAATAATAGGAGGGGGGTGGTATAAGTGATGGGGAGGGAAAGCCAGAGAAAGACGGTTGCCTGGTTAGAAGTTAGACAGAGATGAAGAAGGTGAACAAAATAGAGAGAGGGGGTGCTGATGTGAATGATGCAGTGGTGGTGGGAGAGAACAAACGAGAGAGAAAAACAGTAAACGAATGGTGTAGTCGTACCTCGGTAATTATCACGACAGAGAACACATACGTATTTCACACATACGCTGGCAAACCCGTGTGCATCTATAATGCAACAAAGCACAGTGGCGGTATTTGAGGACACGTATTTGGGAGCGTGAATAAAATTTTCATATAGCTAAAACAAAAAAAGCAAGATGGCAAGGCAACCATTGAAAAAATATATCCGTACATACGTAGGTATCACCACAAAAGTATACATATACCAGTCTATAGGATTCAAGAGAGATGAAGAGGAAACCTGAAGCAACTGAAATCTTGTTCTAAAGAAGGAAGCTGAGAATACCATGGATGAAGAATGTGAGAAACAAGGAAGGTTTAAAGAAAGCGGAAACAAAAAAGGAACATTTATATGCACTTAGAATCAGAAAGAAACTGTTGAAATTTCAGGGACGTAATGGGGAAAGAAGGCTTGGAGAATTTGACACTCATAGGACAGATTGAAGGCAAGAGGAGAGCCATAATCGCCAACGTCCTGAAGGGATACGACACATAGAAGATGAAGAAGAAGAAGAAGAAGAAGAAGAAGAAGAAGAAGAAGAAGAAAAATACGACGACGACGAAGAAGAAGAAGAAGAAGAAGAAGAAGAAGAAGAAGAAGAAGAAGAAGAAAAAGAAGAAGAATGAACTTGAGACAAAATTTATGAAGAGCTTTAAAGGACAGGAAATTGTGGAGAGCTATAATCGCCAACGTCCTGAAGGGGACACGACACAAAGAAGAAGAAGAAGAGGAAGAAGATTTAGGAGAGATAACAAAAAAATTGGAAACTATGGAGAGCCATGATCGATAACGTCCTGAAGAAACATGGTACATAAAAAAGAAGGATGAGCCTGTGTAAAAAGATAGTGGGAGAGGATTAAGGAGAAATATCAAAAAGATACATTTTATGAAGCAATTCAAAGGACAAGAAATTGTGGAGAGTCATGATCGCCAACGCCCTGAATGGGCACGCCACAAAGAAGAATGAGCTTGAGTAAATGGGTGGCGAACAAGGTTTAGGAGATAACAAAAAGACAAAATTTATGAAGAGCTACAAAGGAAAGGAAATTGTGGAGAGCTATGATCGTCGACATTCTGAAGGGACACAACACGGAAAGGGAGTACTTAAACTTATAAAAAGACAGATGATATAATAAGGAAAGAGGCTTTTGAGAATTTGACACCTACAGGGCATATTTAGAACGAGCGGGAAACACTGAGTAACCGACGAAGCGAGCGTGTGTGCCAATGGAAGACAGAAGAACTTGGACACACAGTGGATTTGAAAAATAGAGCCAAGTGAACATTTATGGATTATTTTCTACTGATTAAGGAACTGTATTAATTGTTATTTGCCCCTAAGAGGAAGAATAAAACCAAGCTTTCCCTCTTTCCAGGCAAGATAGGCGGACTGATACACCGAGTAACCTAACGAGCTAGAACAAGGACTTAAAGAAGACTTAAATTACTTAAAGAAGAGGAAGTTGTGGAGAGCCATGATCGCTCACTTCCTGAAGGGACACGATGCATAAAAGAAGAAGACTATGTTATTATCATAAATATGGCGAGCTTGTGACAGAAGATGAACTCGGTCACAGTGGACTCACACAATAGAGTCAAGCAGACATGTGTGGTTTTTGGGCTCCCTGGATTATTTTCAGCTAATTACTCCTTTGTAGCCTGACCCCATGACGGGCACGGTATATGCACTACAAAACAGAAGCCATTATACTGGCCGCTCGGGTTCAAAAGGATAAGAAACTGGAGGGCTTAGAAAAAACTCCTGCAGAAGATAGTGAAGGAAAGCGAGAAGAAAGGACTAAACATCAACTGCAAGAAGACAGAATGCAGAGTTTTAAGCAAAAAGTTCGGCCCAAAATGCGAATTACAAATCGGAGGTTTCAAAATCAAACAAATGCGGAAATTTAAACATCTAGGAAACGTTTTAACAGAGGAAAGAGAGACTGACAATGCGGTGTATTGGAATAACCAAGGAAGCATTCCAAAAGATAACACAGTACAGTAACGTCTTGAGATACAAGTTTAATTTGTTCCAAGACAGCTTGTAAATCAAAACACTCGTATCTGAAATCAGTTTTCCCTATTGAAATTAATTGGAATATTTCCTATCCGTTCCAGCCCCCCCCCAAATCACCCTTATTTTCCTAAAACTCACTTCTAATTTTGTATTTGTTGGTTTCTTACAAACAAAAATGTGTGACTAAACAAGAAATGTATTTTACAAAAAATAAAATTGTTGTAGCGTACCTACGAACGATTATGGGTATATCCATATTCGCATAAATACAGTAGTAAATACTGTATGTTGGTCTGCAGTCGTCGATTTGGACAGTACATGAGTCCTATTTAAACATTTGACGTACGACTTATTTCAGCATTGCAATAGTAAGTGACTCTTTTTGTCAGTTTTTGTTTTTAGGAAGAACAGTTTATTTTAGTACACATTGGTTTTGCTTAAAAAAAAATATTGTTTTAGAGGATTTTTATGTGTTTTGTCGTGGGAGGTCTCTTCACCAGCATTATGAAGGAGTCTCCCCCCAGCCCAGAGAAATCAAGCTACTCCAAGCGCATGGGCATCAGGAAAGGCAAAGAAGGGGCCGGAGTATTACGAGGCTCTCAAAGAAAAATACAAAGAATTTATTGACAGTAATGAATTACTATCAATACCGTCTGTTTTGAAAACAGTGACTACTAGAACAATCTCGCTGCTAACTTCAGATGTTAAGACCCGGAAGGTGATAGGAGTCAGACGCGAAATAATGGAGGGGGATCTTAAAACCCTCAACATAGCCCCGAAAATTCTGGCCAAAAGATCCAACGCCGTTTGGGATATACTGCTGGCAACGTAGGACGAAGCCAAAAGACTAGCTGGGAGTATTCTCATTACGAAATCAGTGAGACTACAAACAGGGCACATGGGCACCCGCAAGACTAAGATTACGTTACATGGGCTGCCCATGGATATATCTGAGGACCATTTGGGAGCCTTTTTTGCCCAAGATGGACAAGTTGCTGACGTCACGCCGGCGAAAGGCAAGACAAGCATATCCACCGAGGGTGTTATCGTACATGCGATTCTAACTATGAAAATTTTCAATGGCATCCCCGATTTCTTGACTTGCGGTGGAAGAAAAATATTTGTAGTTGTGCAAGGCCGGCGGCTCCATTGTTGGTCTTGTGGAGCTGCGGGGCATATGTCTAAGGAATGTCCTGGCAAGAACCCGGCACCACCAACTGAGCAACAGTCGGTAGCCAAACAGCCAACAGTCCAACAACCAACAGTTCAACAACAGGCAGCAGCAAAGAAAGCTGTGGACCAAACCCCTAAGGATGCCAGTGAGTGGCAGCAGGTGACCAGGAAAGGACGCAAAGCAGCTACCCTTCCTCCATCTACCCAGCTGGAAGTCTCATCGGGGCGTAAACAACAAAGCCCGAAGCAGAAGCCTTCTCAGAAGCAGCAACAACAACAGATGCAGCAACAGACCCGGCAGCAGCATGAAGAGACACAGCAACGCCAAGAGGCACAGCAGTGCCAACAGACGCAGCAACAACGACAGACACAGCAACGCCAAGAGGCACAGCAGTGCCAACAGACGCAGCAACAACGACAGACACAGCAACGCCAAGAGGCACAGCAGTGCCAACAGACGCAGCAACAACGACAGACACAGCAACGCCAAGAGGCACAGCAACAAAAGGCACAGCAACAAAAGGCACAGCCGCTGGAACAACAACAATACCAGCAACAACTAGAGGAAGATTTACACATGCAGACTGAGCACCAGCTACTGGATATAGGTATGGAGGTGGAGGTCATGTCTCCATCTAGATCTTCTTCTTTGAAAAGTGGGTAGGACGATGAGGTGGACGACGAGGAGGAAGAGGAGAAAATATTGAAAAAAGAAAAAAGTCTGATCGTAGCAGGGTGGAAAGATTCAGAGATTACCCCAGGTCTCATTCGTTTCCCGCCTTGCCAACTAAGGGAAAAGACACTGGGAAAATTAGAACTATGAGCCTCCCCCCTTCCTCCACTAAAGTTTTGCAATCTCCCTCCCCAATAGTATTCCCCGCTTCAGTGGAAAAAAGAAACCCCTCCCAAGAAAAAGAAAACTTTCCCTAAGGAAAAAGGGACCTCTCAATGCAAAAGAAGGCCCTACTAAGACATTTAATTAAATGTATCTCCGTGGACGGCAAATCAACGGAGGACCCTCGAAACTTTCTAAAAGCACCTGGTGTGACGACTCTCATTAGGAACACGGGGGGGGGGGAATCTGAAAGTTTGGATCACTTAGCGAAGGCCAGGGACGCGTTCCCTAATATAAAAATAGTGCAACTTGCCTCTCCGGAGCTACGAAAAATGTCGCAAATGTGCGCAGGGAGGGACCCGGTTATTCTCTATCCCTGTTCATATAGGTCCGACATAGGTACAGGAAGTCTGGGACAATCCGTTGGGGTCCTGAGACCCGCAGATTTACGTCCAGTCTGCGTTTAGGGGATCACGCTTAAATTATATTTATCAAATTAGCTAGCCTGAATGTAAGGGGCTTGAGGGATCGGGGTAAGGCTGCCCGTTTTCTTCGGGATCTCTTGTCCTAGATGTAGCTGCGATCCAGGAAACGCACTTTGTTTGCGACGTTGATGCGCGTGTGCTGTCCAGAGACTTTGTTGTTTATTCAGCATACCGGGACCAGCAGGCCAGAGGTGTTTCCTTGTTAGTTAAACGTACCCTGAATGCGAGGGTGGACCTTGTTCATGCCGACGCGGGGTGGAGGCGGTTGATCGTGGCTGATATTGCTGTGAGCAGTGGTTCGTTTCGGGTCGTTGCGGTTTATGCGCCCAACGACTAGAGTGAGCGTGTCGACTTTTTCCGTCGGTTGGGGCCGTTCCTGGTTGATTCTTTGCGCTTAGTCTTAATGGGGGACTGGAATGTTGTCCTGAACCCCAAGATAGATAGGAGGCGGAGTGCTAGCGTGATGGCATCGGGCGATCGTAGCCTGGTTGATCTGATTGGCGACTTTGGGCTCGTCGATAGATACCGGGTCGATCATCCGAGGGTGGAGATGTGGACGTGAACCCATAGTTGGCCGTCTCTCCGGGTAGCTAGCTACCGGAACAGGATGTTAGTGAGAAAGGTCGACCTAGATTTACTAGATTGTCCCATTTTCCACCGATTAGACTATTCGGATCATAGACTCGTCTGTGCCCGGATGGTGTTAGGCGTTAGGCCTAGAATGGCTAGACACTGGAAGTTCAACGTGTCCTTACTGGACAGCCGGGACTTTCAGCAACAGCTGACTAGTTTAGCGCAGCGGGAACTAGTGGGGCGGTTATTGGGAGTAGATGGTGGGAAAGGCTTAAGGATAAGATTAGGTCCTTCACCACTGAATACAGCCAACGACTCGCTCGAGATAAGGCTAAAAAGTTGAAGGCTCTAGAGGATAGTCTGTCCCGGGCGGTGGATGGTGGGGGGGGGATTCGCCATCGTGGAAAACAAACAATTAAAACATTTGAAACAGTTTTGTGCAGGGAATGTCCCAGTTTTAGTTCACCCCTCCCTCTAGAGAGCACTGAAACTAACTGGGATATAGGTGGGCTCTCCCAAGACGGTACCATCAAGACTAAGATGTTCCAAGGGTCAATGGGAGAGGCTGTCAGTATCCTTACCCCGGCCATGTTCAAACCAGTGTCCCAACCCTAATCGGTCTGATAATGACTCTCTGGTTAGCAAGTCTGAATGTCCGGGGCCAGAGATCGGAGTCTCGAAGGGCGAGGCTTGATCGCGATCTTCAGCGCCTCGGGGTGGATGTATGTTGTGTGCAGGAGACCCGTTTTTTATCTCGTGACAATGAGGACATTCTGTCTAAGAGGTTCGTCCTCTATTCAGCATGTTTTGATGGACGCTCGAGGGGTGTTTCCTGGCTGGTGAGCAAGTCTCTGGATGCGGTGTGTGCTCTTGTCTTCGCGGATCCGGCGGGAAGACTTTGCGTGCTGTATGTTACCATAAAGGATAAGGCTCTTCGTCTCATTGGGGTTTGTGCGCCCAATGACCATGTTCAGCGGCCTGGTTTGTTTCGGCAGATCGCGCCGTTTTTGATGACATCTCGTTCCATAGTTCTAGCGGGTGATTGGAATGCCGTCCTTGATCCCGATATAGATCGTATAGGACCGAGATTGGGTACTAACAACCCGGATGTTAAGCCGTTTCGAGATTTCATCGAAGGGTTTGATCTCGTCGATAGGTATCGAAATGAGCACCACCGGAAGGTAGTATGGACTTGGACTAAGTGTGGCAGCTCGGATTCGGTGGTGAACGCGAGCTACATCGACCGAGTTCTAGTTAAGAGAGTCGAAGTAGGGTTCTAAAAATGTCCAAGTTTCCATTTTATAGTTTACTCGGATCATAGGCTTGTCCGGGTTCGGGTAAACTTAGATAAGCCTATGATTAAGATGGCTGGTTACTGGAAATTGAACGCATCATTATTTGGTGAACAAGATTTCCGGGACCAGCTTTTACTAATGCTACACCGGGAATTGTCGGGAGCTGTGGTTGGGAATAAATGGTGGGATTCTCTGAAATCGAAACTTAGGTCTTTTGCTGTGGATTTTAGTCGTCGACTCAATCTTAAAAATAATGTCTTACGAGGCTACGAACATGGCCACTTCATTGCGTGCAGAGGAAGCTCGTAGGGCATCTAGTCGGCATATGGCGAGCATCACATTGCCGGACAAGCGGACTGTGACAACAGACGTGGGCATTTGTGAGGCTTTTCGTGTCTACTTTCAGGAACTGTTTACCAGGGAGCCCGGCCTGAGCGATGCTCAGTTCAACGCCTATTTAACCGACTTTCCCCGCCTCGAGGTGGCTGAAGCGGCTGGGTGCGAGGGTCCCATTACAGAGTCTGAGATCAGGGGTGCGCTGAAACAGGTTGGCCTGGACAAGAATCCGGGATTAGATGGTCTACCTTACGAAATGTATTTGAAGCAGTCGCCCGTCTTTATCCCTTTGCTGGCTCTGATTTACAACAACTGGATGAAACAGGGGTCTATACCTCAATGTTTCACCAGAGGTGTGATCAAGTTGCTTTTCAAGAGCAAAGACGGTGGGGATGGGTTAGATAATTATCGGCCTTTGATGATGTTAAATACAGAGTTGAAGATTTTAGCCAAGGTCTTAGTCGGCCGTTTGCTGGCTGTCCTTTCTAGTCTGATTGGTCCCGAGCAGACTTGTGCTGTGAAGGGCAGGACTATTCAGGACAACATTCATTTGCTACACTTGATCATCGAGCAAGTTGACAGTGATACCCTGCTGATCTATTTAGATCAGTCCAAGGCTTTCGATAGGGTTGACCATCGATTTCTGGAGGCTGTCCTATCGGCCGCCGGTTTCGGGCCGGGCTTTTGTACTTGGATTCGACTGCTGTATGCGGACCCCGGTGCGCTTGTAGAAGTGAATGGGGTAAGATCGAAACCTTTCATTTTATCTCGCTCCATTTGTCAAGGATGTCCGCTGTCTCCATTGCTGTACGTTCTTGCTTTGGAACCTTTCCTGCGTAAGTTGAAGACGAATCCGGTCCTTCGCGGAATTTCCTTACCTGGTGCTACCACCTCGGCCAGGTACTCCGCCTATGCTGATGACGTTTTGGTTCTTGTGTCGAGCAGAGCCGAAATTAACGAAGTCAGCAAAGAAATCAATGGCTATGAGATGGTGACAGGGGCTAAGATCAACCGCGATAAGTCTTTTGGCTTGCGGTTGGGTTCATGGAAGGGAGTTTCTCTTTCCGGATCTTTCCTCTGGACGGACGGGCCTGTCAAGATACTCGGCGTCTGGTTCGGTCCCGACCTCCTGTTGGAAATGAATTGGTCGGAGGTGAGAGAGAAGGCAGAGGGCGTCCTTCGTCTGTGGTCCCGGAAGAATATTTCCTTGAAGGGGAGGGTGGAAGTATGTACCTCGCACACCTACCCGATTCTCCTTTACCGACTCTCCATGCTTCCACTCCCGTCTGACACTTTATTGGCGTTTGTTGGGCTCTTGTTCTCCTTGTTGGGAGGCAAGGCCGCCATAGTTAGTCGCGATATCTGTTACCTCCATCCTTCTGATGGCGGTCTGGGTATGCCTTCGTCGACATACGCTTCGCATCACCTATCTAGACCGGATGTGTATGCAGAAGGATGAGAACGGCGAATTCTGGAAGAAAGACGCGCGTAGACAATTTCCATCCTTATGAAGTGTGCTCTTGTGCGAGGAGGAGGTCAGCCGTACTCCTCGAGCCGAGGGCTCCTTCTATCGCGAATGTCGGCTTGCTCTCAAGTTACTCTTACGGGAAAAGGATGGCCCCTCCGACGTTCAGCCGTTGTCTCGTAAGGCATTATATCAGGTTTTAGTTAGGGGGAACGTTTAAGATGCTTTGATAGGCGAGGTCGGTCTGACGAAGCGGGAGGCTCGCTGCATATGGCTTTGGGAGCCCGGGTTGAAATGTCTCACTAACCCTGAGGCATCACTCACCTGGCTGGTGATTCGAGGTTGCGCTCTGGTCGCCAAACGTCTTCACGCAACGGGTTTGGCTATGGACGACGCGACAGAATGAATTCCATGGGGCCGAGAAGTTAACCTCTTCCCAACTGATCCTTTTATTTAAA